CGTCCTTGGTATATGTTACAAGGATCTCTTGTCTATTATTTGCTTGCCTTTCAACCTATAATTGTTTTTCATTCTTAAGTGTACAGTATGACTTTATAAGATTAAATGAACAAAATGATTACTTTTGAATACTTTGTTTCCATAGTAACGTATGTTATAGTTGATTTACCAAACATGTTTGTCATGCATTTAAGACATCAGACCTTCAACTTTCAGAAACAATCATTGCCACTTGTTTGCTTTGCTGCAAACATTAACTGTGGGACTCTGAACATGTTGAAAAATGCCATTTTTCAAACTTTAGGACATGTTGCTATGGTAACCATGACACATAGCAACCCATTTTTGCCTGATTTGAGTTTACGGTATCAAAGACTTTTATCATAGAGAGTTTGGAGAAATTCTGAGACTTTGCGTGCCACAGCTCCTATATAAAAGTTCAAGTCATTACAGAGAATGGCTCTTAATAATTGTAGAACACTCATTTAATTCGTAGTTATACAAAAGAAAGAGAGAGGAGGGACAAGGCGAATAATGGGAGTAGCTTATTCATTGATATTAATTTGTTTCTTGTAATTTACACACACAAAAAATTTAGTAAATAAACAGAATATGGTCAAAATCCAATGTATTTAAAATCTATAACTTTCAAGTTGAACAAGACAACCAGTATATATAATACAAGACAATACATTGATACAAGCATCAAATTGGTTGCACACTTTTCTCGTGCAGATCATGCATGAGTCCCTGCATCTATATGTCACGTGAAGATGCAGATGTGCTGCACGGCGCAGTGATGGACATCGTAATAAATGTAAAGTGTTGAAAAAAATGTCGTTTAGTCATTCGCATCGGTAGTCTATTCGAAAGAAAATTTACTACCAGTTTTTAATTGTGTTAGTACTGTAAGTATCCGGAAACTGGCATCGAGTTGCTTTTATTCACTCTTATTATGGGAAGCCCACTTTTTTGAATAAGAACATTCAAGACATAATATAAACCACATCTTCTTTTTCTTATGAGATTCTTATATTCATAACTTTTATCTATTTTATCAATTAGGAATTTTGTCTAAATAATCATCATATAAAACAATAGCGAGGGGAAAAAAAAAAAGAAACATTAAGGATTTAACTGGAGTTACAGATCTTTTGAATATGTTAATAAAATAATGATCATATTTAAAAATATTTGTATTAAAGGAAACATTGAAAGTTAGATCGCCATGTTAGATGATTTTCGCAGTTTCTAGTCTTAATTGGTCAATGAAATGTTGTTATTTTTTTTTTTCTTATCTCTTTGTTGAGTAAGCATTCAAGTAATAAGTGAGAATTCAACATTTGTACACAGGCCTATAAGGTATGGATTCAACTGCCTATAACGAGAAAGAAAAACGTACATACGAATATGCATGCAAGTCAATTTTCAATTTATTGCTTTTCTTATTGACATAATACATTTATTCATCATTAAATATATACACTATCTTTGATGTTTGATCTCTTTTCTGTGTAGAAAATTATTGAATTCGTGTGTTTCTATTATTTTCTAGCTATAATTGTTTACGTTTCAGCTCGTTTGTAATGTAGGTATCTTTTCGAAAAGCTTATGTGGCCGTGAAAACGGCCGTTTGGTTTTGTTCTGCACACAACACAACTATAGGATCATTTTACTTGGCGGCTTTCTGTGTCTTTTTGGGAAGGAGCACCGCTTGGATGTTGGGCAGGACACCACCCTGCGCGATGGTCACAGCGGACAGGAGCTTGTTCAACTCTTCGTCGTTGCGGATGGCCAGCTGCAGATGACGGGGAATGATTCTGGTCTTTTTGTTGTCGCGGGCAGCGTTACCTGCAAACTCCAAGACTTCTGCGTCCAAGTACTCAAGAACGGCAGCCAAGTACACGAGAGTGCCTGCTCCCACTCTACCACCAAGGCTAAGACACCGAGGAGCACAGACAAGAAAAGGAGGAAGGGGGAAGGGAATCTTATGCCATTTACATGTACATCAACAAAGTCCTAAAGCAGGTGCACCCTGACACTGGTGTTTCCAGCAAGGCCATGAGCATAATGAACTCCTTCGTCAACGATATCTTTGAGAGAATCGCTGCCAAAGCCTCTCGTTTGGCCCACTACAACAAGCGATCTACAATCACAAGCAGAGAGGTCCAGACTGCTGTCCGTCTCCTTCTGCCCGGTGAACTGGCCAAGCACGCCGTAACTGAGGGCACCAAAACAGTCAACAAGTACACCAGCAGCAAATAATCTCATTTTGCAAGTATACACATCAAACGGCCCTTTTAAGGGCCACCTAATTTTTAGAAAAGATACCTTCATATTACATGCGTTATTGAGACACAAATAATATGTATGAGTGTTACAATGTGAATGCATGTGCTCGTAAAAGTGGCAAACGTATAAAAATTCCCACATTGTTTACAGCTGGTTATAATAACAGAAGTAGGATAAATAAATGTAATACAAGTAGGTATTATTATATGTATGAGAGCCAAATTTTATTCACAAATAACTTGAATGTACAACCAAACACATATCTGAAATAACTGTATCTTCAAATATAAATAAAATACAAGCATGCGAGGTCCATCTGATGTACACAAAATCCTGGTTCATTTGTCCTCTGTATACTGAATTAATTATCAGCGTACACTATATAATTGATAATAAAGTATCTCATTCAGCTAATATCAATGAAACAGATAAATAAATTCAAGAACCCTCCCCCCTTCATTTGACATATTGGAATTTTCAATCAGTAATTATACATCAATAAAAGTGCAATGACCAAATGCGATAATTGTACATTGACAATTAATTGTCTAACATTGGTCATGTCACTCAGCGCCAGTTGGTACTTGTCATTGTCGGTAGATCGATCACTCAAAATAATACTCAAGACAGCGGCATTATTATTTTAATATATGATTATAATAATATAAAAAAAAATTAAATAATATATACTGTTAGTGCTTGTATGTGTGTGTTTATTCTATATTTCTTGTCCAAACCTAAATTCAATACATATTTGTTGCTCTGTATATAGTTTTGAGGAAATATTACGACATAAGGGGTCTTACTCTGTTATTGTTGTGTATTTATTTTACCACTTACAACCATTCTTTATTCAACTTTGTACAGTGAATATCTGTATAACATGTACTCAGTAAGTAAATGTCTGTCTTCACGATGTTTTAGAGGCATCTTTTCGAAAAAATTTGGGTGGCCGTGATAACGGCCGTTTGTGTTTATTTTGAACTTCTGTCTTGACTGTCAAACTGAATTCTTTAACCTCCAAATCCGTACAGGGTGCGTCCTTGGCGTTTCAAGGCGTAGATCACATCCACAGCTGTGATGGTCTTTCTCTTGGCATGCTCCGTGTAGGTTACAGCATCTCGGATCACGTTCTCCAAGAAAACCTTCAGAACTCCACGAGTTTCCTCGTAGATGAGACCGGAAATACGTTTGACACCACCACGGCGAGCAAGACGGCGTATGGCTGGATTGGTGATACCCTGGATGTTGTCTATCAGGACTGTTCTGTGTCGCATAGCGCCTCCTTTTCCAAGACCTTTTCCTCCTTTGCCAGATACAGACATCTTGAAAGTTCAGTCAGTAGTACTGTCCTAATAAACTGATCATGCGTAATTGCCTAATTTATAGTCCAAATTGAGGACCCGTGAGAGCGCACGATGCTTTGAAAAGTTCGGAACGTTACCAAAGCGGTATTATGACAAGCTTTACGATTGGTCAGCTTGGCATAATCGGAATGTTTACATTTCTTGCCCCAGGAGAATTTCAACCACATTTAATTAATTTTAATTCTTGAATTTCTTCACATATAGGCAAGTTTATGTTCAATTTATTCACCTAAACCAAAATATTGGTACGTGGAGGTACATATATATACATTTTATACAAACTGGTATACAAAAAAAAAACATGACAGAAAATGAATAAAAATGATAAAGAGAGAGAGGGGAATTATATCAAGCAGGACAGACAGCATCATAAATTTTTAGGATAAACATACACAATTTTTTGTTTTGTTGTTTTTTTTATTTCAGTATTTTTTGCTCTGAGTTTAACAAAATAAATACCGTTGTTGCCGAATGATAATTAAAACGTGTGTGTGTGAGGGGTAGGGGGGGGGGGGATTAAGTTATTCAAAGGAAAGGGGTGTGACAGATAAAACCGAAATAATACAAAACGTAGAAGCTGAATGAAACTTTTGATTAAAATTCATTTATGATATCTAGTTATAGATGTGATAATTTATTGATTTCCTCTTTTCTCAATTAATTTTCAAAGGCAACTTTAAGCAGTGACCAAACCGGCTCTATAAATGAGCCTTTTTCATTTAATTATACGCCACGTTAAAATGAATATCATTATATTTGACGTTGTTTTAAAATCAATAAAAATCATACTTTGAATATTAATGAAATACGGAATTGCAGTTCTGAAATGCATGTACTCGCATATGTGCATAGCTGTAGAACTAATGAGCTAAAGTTGTGATACTGTTATTAGTTTTTGCTTCGACACATTCCACCTTCTTCCATTTAAATAATTGTGCTATTTTCTAATTTATTTCGCAAAATTCTTGAATGTATTCTAGAGGGGCAGGTTGATGGACTTGTACAAAAAATGGTTTCAAGATGTGTAGACACCTTCTACAACAAATTGATGATGACAATAATACTATGAAATTGTCTAGCATTGTGCTCTTTCATAATTTATGTAATTATATATATGTAAGGCACAGACATACTCACTGAAGGATGTATTGTGTCTCAACATTTTGTTTTTCAATTTGGGGGCATTATACGCCGAATTTGATAAAATTTATTAATTTCGGCCAAATAATTCAACATTGTTTTCAGAGATGTTTCAACGTCTGAACAGAAGGCATCTTTTCGAAGAATGTAGGTGGCCGTGAAAACGGCCGTTTGCTTTAGGACTTGAAATACAGCTTAAAATTAAGCACGCTCTCCACGAATACGTCTGGCCAGCTGGATGTCTTTGGGCATGATGGTTACTCTCTTGGCGTGAATGGCGCACAGGTTGGTGTCCTCAAAGAGACCAACAAGGTAAGCTTCGCTTGCTTCCTGTAAAGCCATGACAGCTGAACTCTGGAAACGCAAGTCGGTCTTAAAATCCTGAGCGATTTCCCGGACCAAGCGCTGGAATGGCAGCTTCCTGATGAGAAGCTCAGTGCTCTTCTGGTATCTCCGAATTTCACGGAGGGCGACAGTTCCTGGCCTGTATCTATGCGGTTTCTTAACGCCACCCGTGGCTGGTGCGCTTTTACGAGCAGCTTTGGTAGCGAGCTGTTTTCTGGGGGCCTTGCCTCCTGTAGATTTTCGTGCCGTCTGCTTGGTACGTGCCATGCTATCTCCTCAGATTATTCAAACTCGAATGAATGAAGTGGCAGTGTTGCGCCGTGAACTTATATATCTTTGTAAGCTCAAGTTGAAAATCGCTGCGGTCTATCAGTCGGCTTAGTCGATTGGCTGGTGCCCGCAGTAACACTCGCTACGATTAGTCAGGTGAACGAGATGACCATTGGCTACGTCTGAAGGTAGTTTCAATCCACAGAATTGCCCCAAAAGAAAAAGAAAATCAAGTCGGTTTTTGACACATGATTTCGCTGCAGATACATATAGTCAAATATTTTTTTTAAAATATATATATGGTGAATAATGGGGATGAATGTGACGTCAATTGAATAGAAAATAGAATTATTTATTATATATATACATATATTTTCAATTCGTTATTGAAGCAAAATGCATTTTCGAGAAATATATATTATATATTTCTTGTCATTATTTCCTCCTACCATTATCTGAACAAGCCCAGTAATATTACTAAGTATCATGATACTTGCAGATAATCAGAATGGTGCATATAGGATGAACAGGAATTACCCTGTTGCAAAAACAAGAACAAAACAAATAATACAAATAAATGAATAATTAATTAAATGAATGAATAATTAAATAAATGAATGAATGAATAAATGAAAAGAATAAATAAATGAAAAGAATAAGAATGTATGTATCTGTCTTTCAATAGGTACGCATGAACTTTTATTCCATTCGTTCCACATTTGATTCCAAATAAAGTGGGGGAAAAAAAAAAAGAAAAAGAAAAATATTAACAATAATAATAATAAATAAAATAAAATAAAATAAAAAAAATAATAAATAAATAATAATAATAAAACTTAAAAAAAAAAAAAGAAAGCAAAAAAAAAAAACAAAAACAAAAACAAAAACAAATATACTAGAATGATAACACTAATAATAATGGCCATATAGTTAGCGTAGGCGTTGTGATGTGGAAAAAGTAAAATTTTATTTACTTGAGGGAGGGTATGTAAACAAATTAAAAACTGACTTTTGTTTCTTCTTCTTCTCAGAAACAGCATGTTAATATTATCATGACTTTGCAATTTGCTTCCAGTCGAAGACAAATAAACTATGTGTAATAGGTAAGTGTACTTCTTGTTTATTCATTTTGTGTTTCCATTAGTACATGTATGTAATAGAGGCATCTTTTCTAAAAATGTTGGTAGCCCTGAAAAGGGCTTTTGTAATTGGTTTAAGACAATTGGCAGTCTACGCCTTGGTGGCTTTCTTTGCGGTCTTTGACTTCTTGGCTGTGGCTTTCTTGGGCGCTTTGGTTTTCGTAGGCTTTGGAGCTGCCTTGGCTTTCTTGGGAGACTTAGTAGCTGCTTTCTTCTTGGGAGACTTGGCCTTCTTGGGTGCTGCAGGTTTCTTAACAGCCTTTTTCTTTTCTGTTGGCTTTTTCTCCCCGGTTGTCTTCTTGGGTTTGGTCGTTTTCTTGGGCTTGGCAGCCTTAGGTTTGGTGACTTTTTTGGTCTTGGGTTTCTTCTCCGTCTTGGGCTTCTCTCCCAGCTTGAAGGAACCACTGGCACCTGTACCCTTGGCCTGTTTGAGAACTCCCTTCTTGACTCCGTTCTTGAGGGCCATCTTCAGATGGGTGTTGACACTAGAGGCGTCATTACCGACTTTGTAGTTGCCCATGATGTATAATATGTATCATATAAAACAATAGCGAGGGGAAAAAAAATATATTAGGCCTATAAGGTTTGGATTCAACTGCCTATAACGAGAAAGAAAAAACGTACATATACGAATATACATGCGAGTCAATTTTAAAATTTATTGCTTTTGTTATTAACTTAATACATTTATTTATCATTAAATATATAACACTTTCTTTGATGTTTGATCTCTGTTCTGTGTTGAAAATTATTGAATTCGTGTGTTTCTATTATTTTCTAGCTATAATAATTGTTTACGTTTCAACTCGTTTGTAATGTAGGTATCTTTTCGAAAAGCTTATGTGGCCGTGAAAACGGCCGTTTGGTTTTGTGCTGCACACAACACAACTATAGGATCTTTTTACTTGGCGGCTTTCTGTGTCTTTTTGGGAAGGAGCACCGCTTGGATGTTGGGCAGGACACCACCCTGCGCGATGGTCACGCCGGACAGGAGTTTGTTCAATTCTTCGTCGTTGCGGATGGCCAGCTGCAGATGACGGGGAATGATTCTGGTCTTTTTGTTGTCGCGGGCAGCGTTGCCTGCCAACTCCAAGACTTCTGCGGCCAAGTACTCAAGAACGGCAGCCAAGTACACGGGAGCGCCTGCTCCCACTCTCTCGGCGTAGTTGCCCTTTCTCAGCAGACGGTGAATACGACCCACGGGGAACTGCAGTCCGGCGCGGGAAGAACGGCTCTTGGCCTTCCCCTTCACTTTGCCTCCTTTGCCACGTCCAGACATTCTTAACGGTTATGTTCTTTCGTGTACAGTCAACGAATAATCCAGCGACGCCCGCACGCACCAATTTAAACAACCAAGCGGATCCAACGGTGCAGCCAATTAACGCGTCGCTCTGTTGTGCCTTTAGGTGAAATCCGAACAAGTAATGTTTTCTCGGAGGTCCGTAACAAGCTTCTCCTCCTACTCGCATATAAATAGTAAATTTTACCATTTTACTTTATTCATCTCTTCAGTTTGACCTGTCAACTTGAGATCATGCCACCCAAAGTCGGATCCAAAGGCGCCAAGAAAGCAGTCACCAAGGCCAAGACACCGAGGAGCACAGACAAGAAAAGGAGGAAGAGGAGGAGGGAATCTTATGCCATTTACATCTACAAAGTCCTAAAGCAGGTGCACCCTGACACTGGTGTTTCCAGCAAGGCCATGAGCATAATGAACTCCTTCGTCAACGATATCTTTGAGAGAATCGCTGCCGAAGCCTCTCGTTTGGCCCACTACAACAAGCGATCTACAATCACAAGCAGAGAGGTCCAGACTGCTGTCCGTCTCCTTCTGCCCGGTGAACTGGCCAAGCACGCCGTATCTGAGGGCACCAAAGCCGTCACCAAGTACACCAGCAGCAAATAATCTCATTTTGCAAGTACACACACCAAACGGCCCTTTTAAGGGCCAACTAATTTTTTAGAAAAGATACCTTCATATTACATGCGTTATTGAGACACAAATAATATGTATGAGTGTTACAATGTGAATGCATGTGCTCGTAAAAGTGGCAAACGTATAAAAATCCCACATTGTTTACAACTGATTATAATAACAGAAGTAGGATAAATAAAGAAATACAAGTAGGTATTATTATATGTATGAGAGCCAAATTTTATTTACAAATAACTTGAATGTACAACCAAGCACATATCTGAAATAACTGTATCTTCAAATATAAATAAAATACAAGCATGCGAGGTCCATCTGATGTACACAAAATCCTGGTTCATTTGTCCTCTGTATACTGAATTAATTATCAGCGTACATTATATAATTGATAATAAAGTATCTCAATTCAGCTAATATCAATGAAACAGATAAATAAATTCAAGACCCCCCCCCTCCCCTTTCTTTGACATTGACATATTGGAATTTTCAATCAGTAATTATACATCAATAAAAGTGCAATGACCAAAATGCGATAATTATACATTGACAATTAATTGTCTAACATTAGTCATAATTGTTAAACAAGAAAAAAAAAGCATGTCACTCAGCGCCAGTTGGTACCTGTCATTGTCGGTAGATCATAAAAAAAAAAAAATTAAATAATATATACTGTTTGTGTGTGTTTATTCAATATTTCTTGTCCAAACCTAAATTCAATACATATTTGTTGCTCTGTATATAGTTTTGAGGAAATATTACGACATAAAGGGTCTTACTCTGTTATTGTTGTGTATTTATTTTACCACTTACAACCATTCTGTATTCAACTTTGTACAGTGAATATCTGTATAACAAGTACTCAGTAAGTAAATGTCTGTCTTAACGATGTTTTAGAGGCATCTTTTCGAAAAATTTGGGTGGCCGTGATAACGGCCGTTTGTGTTTGTTTTAAACTTCTGTCTTGACTGTCAAACTGAATTCTTTAGCCTCCAAATCCGTACAGGGTGCGTCCTTGGCGCTTCAAGGCGTAGACCACGTCCATAGCTGTGACGGTCTTTCTCTTGGCATGCTCCGTGTAGGTTACAGCATCTCGGATCACGTTCTCCAAGAAAACCTTAAGAACTCCACGAGTTTCCTCGTAGATGAGACCGGAAATACGTTTGACACCACCACGGCGAGCAAGACGGCGTATGGCTGGCTTGGTGATACCCTGGATGTTGTCTCTCAAGACTTTTCTGTGTCGCTTAGCGCCTCCTTTTCCAAGACCTTTTCCTCCTTTGCCACGTCCAGACATGTTATAAGTTCAGTCAGTAGTACTGTTCTGATGTACTGATCATGCGTAATTGCCTAATTTATAGTCCAAATTGAGGACCCGTGAGAGCGCACGATGCTTTGAAAAGTTCGGAACGTTACCAAAGCGGTATTGTGACAAGCTTTACGATTGGTCAGCTTGGCATGATGGGAATGTTTACATTTCTTGCCCCACAGGAATTTTAACCACATTTAATTAATTTTGATTCTTTAATTTCTTCACATATAGGCAAGTTTATGTTCAATTTATTCACCTAAACCAAAATATTGGTACGTGGAGGTACATATATACATTTTATACAAACTGGTATACAAAACAAAAAAAAAAAAAAAAAAAAAAACATGACAGAAAATGAATAAAAATGATAAAGAGAGAGAGAGGGGAATTATATCAAGCAGGACAGACAGCATCATAATTTTTTAGGATAAACATACACAATTTTTTGTTTTGTTGTTGTTATTTTTTTATTTCAGTATTTTTTGCTTTGAGTATAACAAAATAAATACCGTTGTTGCCGAATGATAATTAAAACGTGGGTGGGTGGGTGGGGATTAAGTTATTCAAAGGAAAGGGGTGTGACAGATAACACCGAAATAATACAAAATGTAGAAGCTGAATGAAACTTTTGATTCTCATTCATTTATGATATCTAGTTATAGATGTGATAATTTATTTGATTTCCTCTTTTCTCAGTTAATTTTCAAAGGCAACTTTAAGCAGTGACCAAACCGGCTTTATAAATGAGCCTTTTTCATTTTATTACACGCCACGTTAGAATGAATATCGTTATATTTGACGTTGTTTAGAAATCAATAAAAATCATACTTTGAATATAAATGAAATACGGAATTGCAGTTCTGAAATGCATGTACTCGCATATGTGCATAGCTGTAGAACTAATGAGATAGAGTTGTAATACTGTTATTATTTTTTGCTTCGACACATTCCATCATTTTCTATTTAAATAATTGTGCTATTTTCTAATTTATTTCGCAAAATTCTTGAATGTATTCTAGAGGGGCAGGTTGATGGACTTGTACAAAATATAGTTTCAAGATGTGTAGACAACTTCTACAACAAATTGATGATGACAATAATACTATGAAATTGTCTAGCATTGTGCTCTTTCATAATTTATGTAATTATATATATGTAAGGCACAGATATATTCACTGAAGGATGTATTGTGTCTCAACATTTTTTTTTTTTTTCCCCAATTTGGGGGCATTGTACGCCGAATTTGATAAAATTTATTAATTTCGGCCAAATAATTCAACATTATTTTCAGAGATGTTTCAACGTCTGAACAGAAGGCATCTTTTCGAAGAATGTAGGTGGCCGTGAAAACGGCCGTTTGCTTTAGGACTTGAAATACAGCTTAAAATTAAGCACGCTCTCCACGAATACGTCTGGCCAGCTGGATGTCTTTGGGCATGATGGTTACTCTCTTGGCGTGAATGGCGCACAGGTTGGTGTCCTCAAAGAGACCAACAAGGTAAGCTTCGCTTGCTTCCTGTAAAGCCATGACAGCTGAACTCTGGAAACGCAAGTCGGTCTTAAAATCCTGAGCGATTTCCCGGACCAAGCGCTGGAATGGCAGCTTCCTGATGAGAAGCTCAGTGCTCTTCTGGTATCTCCGAATTTCACGGAGGGCGACAGTTCCTGGCCTGTATCTATGCGGTTTCTTAACGCCACCCGTGGCTGGTGCGCTTTTACGAGCAGCTTTGGTAGCGAGCTGTTTTCTGGGGGCCTTGCCTCCTGTAGATTTTCGTGCCGTCTGCTTGGTACGTGCCATCCTATCTCCTCAGATTATTCAAACTCGAATGAATGAAGTAGCAGTGTTGCACCGTGAACTTATATATCTTTGTAAGCTCAAGTTGAAAATCGCTGCGGTCTACCAGTCGGCTTAGTCGATTGGCTGGTGCCCGCAGTAACACTCGCTACGATTAGTCAGGTGAACGAGATGACCATTGGCTACGTCTGTAGGTAGTTTCAATCCACAGAATTGCCCCAAAAGAAAAAGAAAATCAAGTCGGTTTTTGACACATGATTTCACTGCAGATACATATAGTCAAATATTTTTTTTTTTAAATATATATATGGTGAATAATGGGGATGAATGTAACGTCAATTGAATAGAAAATAGAATTATTTATTATATATATATACATATATTTTCAATTCGTTATTGAAGCAAAATGCATTTTCGAAAAATATATATTATATATTTCTTGTCATTATTTCCTCCTACCATTATCTGAACAAGCCCAGTAATATTACTAAGTATCATGATACTTGCAGATAATCAGAATGGTGCATATAGGATGAACAGGAATTACCCTGTTGCAAAAACAAGAACAAAACAAATAATACAAATAAATGAATAATTAATTAAATGAATGAATAATTAATTAAATGAATGAATAATTAAATAAATGAATGAATGAATAAATGAAAAGAATAAATAAATGAAACGAATAAGAATGTATGTATCTGTCTTTCAATAGGTACGCATAAACTTTTATTCCATTCGTTCCACATTTGATTCCAAATAAAGTGGGAAAAAAAAAAAAAAAAGAAAAAGAAAAATAATAATAATAATAATAATAATAATAAATAAATAAATAAAATAAATTAATAAATAAAATAAAATAAAATAAAATAAAATAAATTAATAATAATAATAAAACTTCAAAAAAAAAAAAAAAAAAACAAAAACAAAAACAAAAACAAACAAATATACTAGAATGATAACACTAATAATAATGGCCATATAGTTAGCGTAGGCGTTGTGATGTGGAAAAAGTAAAATTTTATTTACTTGAGGGAGGGTATGTAAACAAATTAAAAACTGACTTTTGTTTCTTCTTCTTCTCAGAAACAGCATGTTAATATTATCATGACTTTGCAATTTGCTTCCAGTCGAAGACAAATAAACTATGTGTAATAGGTAAGTGTACTTCTTGTTTATTCATTTTGTGTTTCCATTAGTACATGTATGTAATAGAGGCATCTTTTCTAAAAATGTTGGTAGCCCTGAAAAGGGCTTTTGTAATTGGTTTAAGACAATTGGCAGTCTACGCCTTGGTGGCTTTCTTTGGGGTTTTTGACTTCTTGGCTGTGGCTTTCTTGGGCGCTTTGGTTTTCGTAGGCTTTGGAGCTGCCTTGGCTTTCTTGGGAGACTTAGTAGCTGCTTTCTTCTTGGGAGACTTGGCCTTCTTGGGTGCTGCAGGTTTCTTAACAGCCTTTTTCTTTTCTGTTGGCTTTTTCTCCCCGGTTGTCTTCTTGGGTTTGGTCGTTTTCTTGGGCTTGGCAGCCTTAGGTTTGGTGACTTTTTTGGTCTTGGGTTTCTTCTCCGTCTTGGGCTTCTCTCCCAGCTTGAAGGAACCACTGGCACCTGTACCCTTGGCCTGTTTGAGAACTCCCTTCTTGACTCCGTTCTTGAGGGCCATCTTCAGATGGGTGTTGACACTAGAGGCGTCATTACCGACTTTGTAGTTGCCCATGATGTACTTGAGAATAGCTTGTCTCGAGGAACCTCCGCGCTCCTTCAGGGCAGCCACAGCAGCGCTGATCATCTCGATGTACTTGGGATGGGCGGGAACCGTCTTGGGTTTGGAAACCTTCTTCTTGGCGGGGGATTTTGCTGGTGCGGCGTCTGCCATAATTTTTTTGTCCTGTTTTCTACAACTGATGTGAACGACGTTATCGACGATAAGGAAATGAATGAAATCACCTCCGCCGATGGCCTTATTTGAGTGGCGGCGAGCGCGGACCTCCGTGAAAACTCCCCAATTGTCGACAGCGTAGAGGATTGAACTCGTCAAACTTTGTGTTTCAATACCTGTTATTTTTCCGATATTGTCCTCCCAATTTTACTTAATTTTCTCAAATATGTCACTGTGCGTTTTCTTGAAATATTTTCCTACATAACTGTTTTTGTTGAAGGTTCTTAATCTGTCATTTTAAAGGAGGAATTGTCTGTTGATTCTGAAAATGCGCTGTTCCCTGGAGCCCAGAAGCGACTAATTTTGATTAAAACACGAAAACAAGAGGAATAGAACACGAGTAAGGGATTGAAGTACTTACTACATTGCTATGTGATAAAACATACATGTACATTTCTTTCAATTGTCTTCCATGTTACTTAAAATCCGAATGAAAATGCAAACATTCGGCACAAACACGCGCACAATGGATAGTGATGTGTGCCTTGCATTTCATATGAAATGGAGAGAAAAAAAACAACAAACAAAACAACCAAAAAAAAAAACAAACAAACAAACAAACAAAAGGGTCATATGAAGAGAAATCACGGAATCTCACAAATTGTTGAATGTTCAAATATATATCTAATATACTTTCTAGATCAGTGGATGTTCACCCCCTTAAAGGGACAACATATAATTTCTTTTCGAATATTTAAATACATGACACCTACTTTATAATTATAACAGCGAGGACACCGGGAAGATCCAGACCGTACGTAACGTACCACATTCGGTGGTACAACGTCTGAATTTCTCAGTATAATTATATCATAAGAATATACATAACTGACATCCTTGTAAATTACATGAAAAAAAAAATCACATAAAAAGGGCGTGTATTTAATAATTGTAGAACACTCACTTAATTAGTAGTTATACATAAGAGAGAGACAGAGAGAGACGAACAAGGCGAATAATGGGAGTAGCTTATTCATTGATATTAATTTGTTTCTTGTAATTTACACACACAAATAATTGAGTACATGTAAATAAACAGAATGTGGTCAAAAGCCAATGTATTTAAAATCTATATCTTTCAAGTTGAACAAGACAACCAGTATATAATACAAGACAATACAATACATTGATACAAGCATCAAATTGGTTGCACACTTTCCACGTGCAGATCATGATTCCCTGCATCTATATGTCACGTGAAGATGCAGATGTGCTGCACGGCGCAGTGATGGACATCGCAATAAATGTAAAGTGTTGAAAAAAATGTCGTTTAGTCATTCGCATCGGTAGTCTATTCGAAAGAAAATTTACTACCAGTTTTTAATTGTGTTAGTACTGTAAGTATCCGGAAACTGGCATCGAGTTGCTTTTATTCACTCTTATTATGGGAAGCACACTTTTTTGAATAAGAACATTCAAGACATAATATAAACCACATCTTCTTATTCTTATGAGATTCTTATATTCATAACTTTTATCTTTTTTATCAGTTAGGAATTTTGTCTAAATAATCATCATATAAAACAATAGCGAGGGGAAAAAAAAAAAAAAAAACATTAAGGATTTAACTGGAGTTACAGATCTTTTGAATATGTTAATAAAATAATGATCATATTTAAAAATATTTGTATCAAAGGAAAAAAAATTGAAAGTTAGATCGCCATGTTAGATGATTTTCGCAGTTTCTAGTCTTAATCGGTCAATGAAATGGTTTTTTTTTTTTTCTTATCTCTTTGTTGAGTGAGCATTCAAGTAATACGTGAGAATTCAACATTTGTACGCAGGCCTATAAGGTTTGGATTCAACTGCCTATAACGAGAAAGAAAAAACGTACATATACGAATATACATGCGAGTCAATTTTAAAATTTATTGCTTTTGTTATTAACTTAATACATTTATTTATCATTAAATATATAACACTTTCTTTGATGTTTGATCTCTGTTCTGTGTTGAAAATTATTGAATTCGTGTGTTTCTATTATTTTCTAGCTATAATAATTGTTTACGTTTCAACTCGTTTGTAATGTAGGTATCTTTTCGAAAAGCTTATGTGGCCGTGAAAACGGCCGTTTGGTTTTGTGCTGCACACAACACAACTATAGGATCTTTTTACTTGGCGGCTTTCTGTGTCTTTTTGGGAAGGAGCACCGCTTGGATGTTGGGCAGGACACCACCCTGCGCGATGGTCACGCCGGACAGGAGTTTGTTCAATTCTTCGTCGTTGCGGATGGCCAGCTGCAGATGACGGGGAATGATTCTGGTCTTTTTGTTGTCGCGGGCAGCGTTGCCTGCCAACTCCAAGACTTCTGCGGCCAAGTACTCAAGAACGGCAGCCAAGTACACGGGAGCGCCTGCTCCCACTCTCTCGGCGTAGTTGCCCTTTCTCAGCAGACGGTGAATACGACCCACGGGGAACTGCAGTCCGGCGCGGGAAGAACGGCTCTTGGCCTTCCCCTTCACTTTGCCTCCTTTGCCACGTCCAGACATTCTTAACGGTTATGTTCTTTCGTGTACAGTCAACGAATAATCCAGCGACGCCCGCACGCACCAATTTAAACAACCAAGCGGATCCAACGGTGCAGCCAATTAACGCGTCGCTCTGTTGTGCCTTTAGGTGAAATCCGAACAAGTAATGTTTTCTCGGAGGTCCGTGATAACGGCCGTTTGTGTTTGTTTTAAACTTCTGTCTTGACTGTCAAACTGAATTCTTTAGCCTCCAAATCCGTACAGGGTGCGTCCTTGGCGCTTCAAGGCGTAGACCACGTCCATAGCTGTGACGGTCTTTCTCTTGGCATGCTCCGTGTAGGTTACAGCATCTCGGATCACGTTCTCCAAGAAAACCTTAAGAACTCCACGAGTTTCCTCGTAGATGAGACCGGAAATACGTTTGACACCACCACGGCGAGCAAGACGGCGTATGGCTGGCTTGGTGATACCCTGGATGTTGTCTCTCAAGACTTTTCTGTGTCGCTTAGCGCCTCCTTTTCCAAGACCTTTTCCTCCTTTGCCACGTCCAGACATGTTATAAGTTCAGTCAGTAGTACTGTTCTGATGTACTGATCATGCGTAATTGCCTAATTTATAGTCCAAATTGAGGACCCGTGAGAGCGCACGATGCTTTGAAAAGTTCGGAACGTTACCAAAGCGGTATTGTGACAAGCTTTACGATTGGTCAGCTTGGCATGATGGGAATGTTTACATTTCTTGCCCCACAGGAATTTTAACCACATTTAATTAATTTTGATTCTTTAATTTCTTCACATATAGGCAAGTTTATGTTCAATTTATTCACCTAAACCAAAATATTGGTACGTGGAGGTACATATATACATTTTATACAAACTGGTATACAAAACAAAAAAAAAAAAAAAAAAAACATGACAGAAAATGAATAAAAATGATAAAGAGAGAGAGAGGGGAATTATATCAAGCAGGACAGACAGCATCATAATTTTTTAGGATAAACATACACAATTTTTTGTTTTGTTGTTGTTATTTTTTTATTTCAGTATTTTTTGCTTTGAGTATAACAAAATAAATACCGTTGTTGCCGAATGATAATTAAAACGTGGGTGGGTGGGTGGGGATTAAGTTATTCAAAGGAAAGGGGTGTGACAGATAACACCGAAATAATACAAAATGTAGAAGCTGAATGAAACTTTTGATTCTCATTCATTTATGATATCTAGTTATAGATGTGATAATTTATTTGATTTCCTCTTTTCTCAGTTAATTTTCAAAGGCAACTTTAAGCAGTGACCAAACCGGCTTTATAAATGAGCCTTTTTCATTTTATTACACGCCACGTTAGAATGAATATCGTTATATTTGACGTTGTTTAGAAATCAATAAAAATCATACTTTGAATATAAATGAAATACGGAATTGCAGTTCTGAAATGCATGTACTCGCATATGTGCATAGCTGTAGAACTAATGAGATAGAGTTGTAATACTGTTATTATTTTTTGCTTCGACACATTCCATCATTTTCTATTTAAATAATTGTGCTATTTTCTAATTTATTTCGCAAAATTCTTGAATGTATTCTAGAGGGGCAGGTTGATGGACTTGTACAAAATATAGTTTCAAGATGTGTAGACAACTTCTACAACAAATTGATGATGACAATAATACTATGAAATTGTCTAGCATTGTGCTCTTTCATAATTTATGTAATTATATATATGTAAGGCACAGATATATTCACTGAAGGATGTATTGTGTCTCAACATTTTTTTTTTCTCCCAATTTGGGGGCATTGTACGCCGAATTTGATAAAATTTATTAATTTCGGCCAAATAATTCAACATTATTTTCAGAGATGTTTCAACGTCTGAACAGAAGGCATCTTTTCGAAGAATGTAGGTGGCCGTGAAAACGGCCGTTTGCTTTAGGACTTGAAATACAGCTTAAAATTAAGCACGCTCTCCACGAATACGTCTGGCCAGCTGGATGTCTTTGGGCATGATGGTTACTCTCTTGGCGTGAATGGCGCACAGGTTGGTGTCCTCAAAGAGACCAACAAGGTAAGCTTCGCTTGCTTCCTGTAAAGCCATGACAGCTGAACTCTGGAAACGCAAGTCGGTCTTAAAATCCTGAGCGATTTCCCGGACCAAGCGCTGGAATGGCAGCTTCCTGATGAGAAGCTCAGTGCTCTTCTGGTATCTCCGAATTTCACGGAGGGCGACAGTTCCTGGCCTGTATCTATGCGGTTTCTTAACGCCACCCGTGGCTGGTGCGCTTTTACGAGCAGCTTTGGTAGCGAGCTGTTTTCTGGGGGCCTTGCCTCCTGTAGATTTTCGTGCCGTCTGCTTGGTACGTGCCATCCTATCTCCTCAGATTATTCAAACTCGAATGAATGAAGTAGCAGTGTTGCGCCGTGAACTTATATATCTTTGTAAGCTCAAGTTGAAAATCGCTGCGGTCTACCAGT